CAGAAGAGTAATCCCATTGGATTCTTCTCCTATGTTTGCCATCCTGTAGTCAGTTTATGTGTATATGAATAGAGCCCTATATATGTTATTGTATATATTTGTAGTTTAGATCTAGCTTCTACATATAAGAGAAAATGTGCTGTTTGTTCTATGAGGCTGGCTTACTAATATGACTTTCTAGAGTTCACCAAATTATTAACTCTTTCCAAGCTGACTGTTTTTAGTTTTTTAATTAATTTTTATTGTAAAGATGATGTACAAAGGTGTTACAGTTACATGGGTCAAGTGATGAGTACATTTTATTTTTCAACAGTACCACCCTCCTCCACAAGTTGTATAGTAGGTATCACTGCTGTATTTGTTCACCCTTTGCCCCAGAACTTCTGTGTTCCTCCTTACACTCCCTTAAACAGAAAAACTTAACATGCAAGATAAAATATACAGAAATAAAAAAAATGACAGAAAAGGGAAAAGAACAAAAAAAACCTCTATTTCCATTTCTTGGAGCAAATTTCAGTAAACACCTTTTTTTCTTTTTTTGGTCGGTCATGGGCTTGGTTTCTGTCCCTCAGCTCTTCAGCACAAGGTTAGCACTCTACCACTTGAGTCACAGCACCACGTCTTGTTTTCTGGTGATTTATTGGAAACAAGAATTTCATAGACTTTCATGTCTGGGCTGGCTTTGAACTTCACTCCTTAGATCTCAGCCTCCTGAATAGCTAGGATTACAGGTGTGAGCCACCAGCACCTGGCTAAACATCATTTTATATGATCATATGCAAATAGCTATTGAGCCTTTGTGATCCTCTCCTAAGTATATCCTCCTTTGGTCTCACTGTGATGTTTAGAATCCTTTATAACTTAAGATATCCAAGTGTAATTTTTTAACTTTTATCATCCGTTGTGTTTACTTGTAAATTTATAGGCACATTATAGGCACATTGTAATTACACATATGAGGGAAAACATAAACTTATATTTCTTTAGGTCTGGTTTACTTTGCTTAATATGATTTTTTCCAACTTTTTCCATTTTCTTATGAATGGTGAAATATCATTATTTTATTTCTGATGGAAGTATAGAATTCCATTGTGTATATATACTGCATTTTCTTTCTTTCTTTCTTTTTTGTGTGTTGGTCGTGGGGCCTGAACTCTGAGCCTGGGTGCTGTCCCTCAGCTCTTCAGCTCTAAGTTAGCACTCTACCACTTGAGCCACAATTCCACTTCCAGCTTTTTCTGCTTATGTGGTGCTGAGAAATTGAACCCAGGACCTCATGCATGCAAGGCAAGCACTTTACCACTGAGCCACCTTTCCAGCCCAACCACACTTTCTTTATCCATTCATCTACTGAGGGGCATCTGGATTGATTCCACATCTTAGCCATGGTAAACAATGCTGCAATGGACATGGTAGTGCTGGTAGCTTTAGTGTGGTCTTGTTTGTGGTCTATTGGATAACAAGCTGATTATTTTCAAACATTCAGTACAGATTTGTATACTTTCACAAAGAGAGCAATCACCTAAAAAATACAGTGTTGTTACAGTTTTAAAATAAATTGAAAAGTAGAATTTGACACTTATGGTTGGTCTTTAATAGGAATAGAGCTACCCAGAGAGAGTCAATTCTAATTATATTCTTAATTTATAGACACATACCAAATCCAAGCAGTATTCTGAAATATATTTATAGTACAAGAGCCAAGATCCAGAGGACAAGTATTTTAGTGAAAATAAATAAAAAGGTAGTAACTCAACTGAAAAAGAGAATTCAAAATTAAAACAAAGTTTGACAACTTGGAACCAGAGTTTTGAACCAGTCTTTCCCTGACTGTAACAAAGGTCTTAGAAAATCCAATTCCTCAATCTAGAAAGAGAATCATTATTTACTGGGGCAGAACAGTTTCCCCAAAGGTGTATCTAATACAGTTTTCAAGCAAGGCCCCCAAATCAAATGTAAGCAGGTTCAAGAAACAGCAGGGCATTTAACTGAGAAAGTTGAGAGCAAATACGTGACAACAAAGCTAATGAAAGAAACAAAAGATAACTGGAAAAGGCGGCTCTTAAATCAAACCACCCTTCTATGCCTGGGTATTTTTTGTTTGATCTTGGCTTGCAGTATTTTCAAAGTGCCAGCCATTAAATATATAAATATATACCTTGGGGCTTTACTAGCTCTCTGTATGTCATGAACCTTCTGATTTTGATTAGAAATATTTCATGAATAAGACCTTAAGTTCCTGCCGTACTTTAAAATGGTCCATGTAACTAAAATGGTAAATGGAACAGTCATTGTATTCAGCCAAGTGTCCTGGTACCTTTTTCAGGAAGTTAGATGATGATCAACTACACATATGTGATTGTCTCTTGAGACTAGTCAAAGTAACAGTATAGCCCAAGGAATTGTAAAAGAAAGGCTATTCCAAGATCTTCACTATCTCCCAAAGCCATTTCCTTTTTAGCCCTCTTCCCAATTGCCCATTTGTTACATAAACAAGAGACTGTTGTTCCCACTGTGTGCCCTCAAGTAGTTAGTCAGCTGCTGACCTCATAATCTGCACAGCTGTGACATCCCAATATATTGTCATGAAACAGATTGTGATGTCTTAATGGATCACATTCAGAGGTTACAACTGTCAAATGAGACCAGTCTGCTGATTCTTATTAGTTAAATTAAGCCTTGTTACAGCAGAACCAACTAATTCACTCTAATCACTGGGAAATCCAATGCAGATTGTTACATTTTATAGAGAGAACTCATCCCAAACATTTTCTTTCTTCTTTAGCTTTTTGTATTTTAAGTCTTATAGAAGCTAGTCCCCAAATATGATTTTATTATCCAGTGAAACATTGAATGTATCTCAGTGATGAGTTGGAGTGTGCCATATCTCACACACACACACACACACACACACACACACACACACACACTATAAATTAGGCAGCAAATTACATCTGTGCATTGGGAGGTCATCACTATGTAATGGTTGTTAGTCTATGCTGAAAATTACGTAATAACAAGAATATTGTCTAGAAGAATATAGGTTGATGTCTCACCCTCAAAACAGCCTTTTGTGCCCTCATTGCCCACTGTTAAAAGGGTTTACCACAGCACCAACATAAAATTTCTGTTCCAAAGGAGTCTAATCTCCTTTCCTCTTGGAGTAGAACTATCCTAACATAAGGCCTGGAATATTTGCTGTTTATTTCTGAATCCTCAGGGCAATCGCAGTGACGGTAGCTTTCTTGACAGTAGAGTTTTAAGACAACTCATATTGTAGTGAGGATATGTTTCGGTGGTAGAGCACTTGCCTAGCATGCACAAGGTACTTCTTATTTTTTCTCAGCGAGGCCTTTTAATAATCAACCCCCCCAAACACATACACACACATTTTCTCTCTCTTCCTAAATTCTAATTAAATTTTAATTTTCTTTATTTAGAGCATATTATGGAAAATGCTTTTTCATTTATTACATCACTAGAACTTGAATGTAAGCTTTATTGTGGCAGGAATTTTGTGTGTATTTTTATATTTGAATTTAAACTCTTGAAAGTATGCTTCCTGCATAGTAGGAGTTCAATATTTACTGCAGGTATCTATCACAGGTAGGAAAGATTATTGTCTCTGTGACTTTTCTGAGGTACCTTATTTCTTAGTTTATCCACGTAGATTGCAACAGACCGAGCCTGCTATTATGTTGATCTGTTTCTTCTAGATTGCTTTTTCTCTTTTCATCTAAATCAAGAATTATTCTAAATTAATTGGAAAAGTCCATTTCTTCCATAGTATTAAATTCAGTGCTCAGAGTCCTCATAAATTATTTTTATTCAATTTTTTTCATGCCCTACCTTAACCAATTGTGCTTTTAATGTATTTCAGGGATCTCTGAGGAGTGAGGTTAAAAAGAAGATAAGATATTGTTCTTACAAAATTCACTATCTAAAGGACAGGTATAATTAAACAATAAATTAAAGTACAATCCATCAAGTAAAATAAGGATAGGACCTCATGAGAGAGAGAGGCTACTCACCAGTAGGCACAATGACATTTCTGGCTGAAAGCCAGGCGCAACAGCTGGAATTTCATAGTAGGGCAATGAGTAAGTTGTACATTCTCAAAACATGTTTCTTTATCATTATTGAATGAATACAGGATGGCAGATATTTATGTGATGATTTTAGAAGGCAAGAAAGCAGGGAATAATGGGAAGAACAATGACTTCTTTGAGTTAGAACATCTAGATGTGAACCATTGTAACTTTGATCATTTACAAGTTCTGAAAGTCCATGCTTCACTTCTGAGTTTCTTTGACTCCCTTGTTCAGTTAAAAATGGAAGAGTTAGACTAACTCCAGAGACCATGAACATGGTTTTGCTGAGTTCTTAAATGAAGCCTCTCCTTACTCACTTAGAAATGTAAACATGAAGATGCATTAAAATGGTGACTTGGGGAAAGTTTTTAAGCATCTGTATAATATTTTCCAGCCTAGCATTTGTTGTTGTAAATAGTTCTGGGTTCTGAAAATCTCCCTTAAAGCCTGAGTCTGCTGTAATTGTCACATTTTTAATCATCTATAACTATATGCAGAATTGATGCCTGAGTGCATTTCTTTTGTATCTCTTCCATCACCTCCAGTCTGATTACAGAGATCAAATCTTTCCATCTTCCCATCTTTCCCAATTTCATTTGAAGTTACAATTTTAAATTTAAAAATTCAACATTTAGAGTGGAAAACAAATGACTTTTTCCTCACATAATTTTAAATCAGAAGATGAGAATGAAAAATTAATTAATTTTTGAACCGTATGAATTTGCTTTTTTAATGGAAGCATATTGCTACCTGGATAACCTTTGTCAGAGCCTGTGGGATTGGCATGTATATTTCAGATAATTCCCTACTTTGTCAGTCATGTAGTATCTGACATTTTAGTTTTCCCAGAGGAAATTGTTTGACTAGGTCAAATTTACCACCTGTTTTCTTCCTCTTTTTGTTTTACAGCCTTTGCAACTGGACTGTGACCTTTGTGCCATAGTGTCCAACTCAGGTCAGATGGTTGGACAGAAGGTGGGAAGTGAGATTGATCAGTCATCTTGCATTTGGAGAATGAACAATGCCCCCACCAAAGGTTATGAAGAAGATGTTGGCCACATGACTATGATCCGAGTTGTATCCCACACCAGTGTTCCTCTTTTGCTAAAAAACCCTGACTATTTTTTCAAAGAAGCAAACGCCACTATTTATGTTATTTGGGGTCCTTTTCGCAACATGAGGAAGGATGGCAATGGAATCGTTTACAACATGTTGAAAAAGACGGTTGATGTCTACCCAAATGCCCAAATTTATGTGACCACAGAGAAGCGTATGAGTTACTGCGATGGAATGTTTAAGAAGGAAACTGGGAAAGATAGGTAAGTCCTTTCCAAAGCAGCCTTATTGTCTTTTATGTTAAATCTTTGCAGAGTCCTTTTGTCAACTATAAAATGAACAGAGTTATTTTTTATACTGATCACTATACATATTTTTTACTATTATGATTACTTGATGAGCCAGCAACTAGGTCTCATTAATTCCACCTACACTGCCTTCTGTTCTCTCTATTTTAATTGGCTTAAGGATCCAAGAAAGCCTGGGTGCTTCTCTACAATGTCTTTAGATCTTTTTCTTATATAGCACAACTCACTGTTGATCAAATTGGATTTCAGCTGATAGAGGAAATCTATATATTTCTGCTTTAATGGGCTGGGAAGGTGGCTCAGTGATAGAGTGTTTGCCTTGCATGCATGAGTCTCTGGGTTCGATTCCTCAGCACCACATAAGCAGAAAAAAAAAGCCGGAAGTGGCGCTGTGGCTCAAGCGGTAGCGTGATAGCCTTGAGCTGAAGAGCTGACAGACAGTGCCCAGGCACAGAGTTCAGGCCCCACGACCGACAAAAAACAACAACAATAACAACAACAAAAAACCCCAAAACCCACATAGGAATGTTAAGGGACTTTAGGATTATGGGTTGACCTTAATTCTTCTGGATAGAGCAGGCTATAGATACTCTAATAATATTTCATAGCTTTTCCCATGCAAATAGACCCTGAGATTTTCAATGCCATAGTCAGATATCTAACTTGGTAAGCAAAATACCATATTGAAATTATGCATTACTTAAAATCATTAGCAGATGGATTCTTGAAGAGAAATGAAGTATATAAATACCCTTCACTCAATTATCCAAAAACCAATTTGCATTGCTTATTCTATTCATATTTCTGTACCATTCTGTAAAATACTCTCACCACTTCCTTTCATTCAGGCATGCTCACCTCATTCCTCCCCTTTCCCTACCCTCCCCAGTTTCCTCTCTTTGTTCCTTTTTCAGCCTCCTCAACTCTACTATCATTCTGTCACTTGCCATTTTTCTTCACCTTTAGAAATATAACCAGTTCAAGGGAGAGAAGCAAAATTAAAATCAGCCAGTTCTGGTTGATACATTTAGCTCTAATAAACAACTGCTAGAAGAAGATATTAAAACTAGTAGCTAAAGTTTTAAATTATTTGTGAATTTTGCTTATTTGTGCAATACGATGAACAATAATTGAGCTTCAATTATAATATCAGCATTCTTATTTCCTCAATATGATCTGATCTAAAGTTTTAATTATATTGCAGTATATGCTTGAACAGAGATCTTTTCTGCAATTTCTGGATGCAATTTTACTGCTGATAAATTTTAAATCTTAGGTAGACCAACTCTCCTACTAATAATGTGAGTAGACTTTTGACTGGAACTGAGCATTTTTTGCTTTTGTGTAGAAATATATTGCTTCACGTGAAATATGATAGAAAAAAAGCCATAAAATGAGCCTTGTTAGCTATTCAAGTTTTCAAGAAAAATCCCAAAGGTTATATCTGAATCAGGGTCACATAGCTGGCTGGATAGAAAAGAAATAAGTAGAATGGGTCTGTCACATAAAAAAAAAAAAAACACATTCACTTGTGGCACCATTTTATATAAATAGGGCCATTCTCAAAGGGTTTTGGAAACCTCTGGTCTCTCAGTAGCCTGGAGCAATGCAATTAGTTAGACATATTTTGTATTTGATTGGGGTTATCCCTCAGGGTATCCCAAAGTTGTAACTATAAACCCTAGAATCAGTGAAGAGCTTAGCGTGGTGTTTGTTTCTATACATGTGTATCATGTGGTTTTTGCTGTAAGCTCTCAGTAAAACAACACTGTCACAGATGTGTGCACTGCATAAGGACAGAGAGAAAACAATTTGGGGAGGCTGTGATGAGAAAAGCTGTTTACAGAGTGGAAAAATTGCTTAGTAATTTTATTCACTTGGTAAAAGTAATTTGAAGATATCATTTGGCTTGTGGAATTACCAAAATAAAAGTTTGCTTTAAAAGGTCAAAGCTATTTTACGATGCCTCCTTGCTGGTTGTTTTTCCACTGAATCTCTTTTCTGTCTGGTTACTTTTCTGAGTATACAATCAGACAGAAGGCAGCTCTGTTTTAGCAATGGGAAGAGTAGATGAGAATCTGATTAAACAACGTAAGAGTGGTCAAAATGACCTCACCTATTCACTTGATGATTTAAGTCACAGTCTTAATTTCAGCTGTGGTAAAAGTGTATTGTTTAAGGATTTCTCATGGTGCTCTGGTATTAACTGATGCTATTTCAAACAATAGTATCTTCTAAAATATTTTATGAAGGAAATATTGAACATTTAAAGCAATAACTAATGGAATAACCTCTGTATTAGCACCCACTCAACTTGAATAATTATTAACTCATGTCCTATTTCTTGTGTGCCCTATTTACTCTTTCCTTTCCCAGATATTATTTTGGTGCAAATATCAGACATCATTTCATTTCGTTAACAAATGTTTTCCTGTACATATCTGAAATATAATTCTGGTAAAAATAAGCTAAAAATGCAGTGTAAAATCATCAGTATTTTCTTAATTTTACCATATGTTTCATCAGAAAATGTCTCCAGTTGTCTTATGTATACATGTATTTTAACAATGAACTTTAGTCAATCACTATTGGCATCAGGTCAATAGTTGCTTTCTCTTAACTACATACATTCTCCTCATTCTCCTCCTCTTCAGGTTTTTATTTTACCTTATCCACCTTACACATATTTGTTTTCCTTCTCTTTTTTTTTCTTTTGGACAGCACTGGGTTTGAGCTCAGGGCCTTGTACTCCTTAAGAAAGTGTTCTATTAGGGGCTGGGAAGGTGGCTCAGTGGTAGAGTGCTTGCCTTGCATGCCTAAGGCTCTGGGTTCCATTCCTCAGCACCACATAAGTAGAAAAAGATGGAAATGGTGCTATGGCTCAAGTGATAGAGTGTTAGCCTTGAGCTGAAGAGCTGAGGGAGAGTGCCCAGGCCCTGAGTTCAGGCACATAACTGACAAAAAAAAGAGCTCTATCACTTGAGCCACTCTACTGGCTCTTTTTGCATTGGTCAATTTGGAGACAGGATCTCTCTTTGTGAATAGATCATGATCCCCCTATTTATGCTTCCCCACATAGCTGATATAACAAATGCATACACCACTACCCTCAATCATTGTTTCAGATGGAGTCTCTTGAAGTTTATAGCCAAGGCTGGCCTCAAACTCTGATCCTCCACGTCCTTGTCTCCCAAGTAGCAAGGATGTCAGGCTAAGGCCACCATGTCCAAGCTTTCTTCCTTTTGCTATACTGACAATCACACAATCACAGGTCCCAGAGACACCAATGTAATTATTCATCTTATTATTAATATCACACACACATAATAGCAGCAACAATCTCAGAATTACAGCACAGGCTCCATCACTACTGCACACATAAAGATTACAGTCCATCAAAGGAGATATTTTATGTGATCCTACATTCCTTGTAGTTCTAAATTCACAGTGGGGTTTTGTTATTATACTCCAAAAGTTCCTAATATTTCCCCCTAAATAACTAGAAGTAAATTAATTGGTACATAGAGTTTTAGGCATGAGAGTCTGGGAAGAAGGAGTGTCCATTTAATTTTACTTCTGGTGTAAAGCTATTTTATTTGGTTTGCCTGCACTTATCACAGGGCTGTCACCAAGTAGTCATTTTGATCAGCAGGTTTTTAATGGAGAGATCATGTCACCATTATTAGGTATAATTTATAGAACTTTTAAAAATTATGTCTTTGGTACCTAAGGTGATTGATGAAGGAAAAACGAGTATATGGAGTCCCTCAAAGAAAAATGTTCTTCTCAGCTTGCTTCCTCAAACTGTCAAAGTCATCTTTAGAAACTATAACCTTTCTATTTAAGGTAACCATGTGCATTTTTCCAGTCGTTTCATTTTTTCTTAAAGTAGGAGAAATGTGTTCACTGTTAGACTAAATCTAAACTAACTTCATAAGTAAGTATATCGAAATACTTTCTTGAACCAAATGAAACATATTTATTTTTATTAGTTCCTGTCTAAAATTACTTAGCTTATGAATTAGAGAGTGTGACCTTGTCGGGCAGGCTGGAAGAACAGAAAGAGAAGGCTGATTGCCCTTTGTTAATCTTCTGAGACCCAATTTCCTTTGGAATTCTAGGTCCTTTGGTCAATGCTTGCTTTTAGAGTTTCATTTACCAAAGATATGGCTGCAAAACAAGAATTACGAATTCTGTAGAACTTTTCAGTCCTTCCAAAGACCTTTGGAATTAAAGGTTTTGCAATTCAAAACAATCTTACCAAAATGGATCTTTTGCCCCCTTTGAATGATTGGTATGTGTAAATAATATTAGCCTGCTGACATGTATCCATTTTTATTCATACATATGATTACTGAAATCCTTAGAGGTGTCTGTTGGGCTGACAGTGCACATGCCATGACACTCAACATTGAAGAATGTGATTAAATACCCAGCATACACACATGCAAAAGAAATGCTCCTTCCTTGCAGAAGCATAGAGAGCCAATGCACAATATTACACTTACCTAAGAGCAGGTGGTGATTGCAGCTTGCATCCCACTTCAGAAATAAGTTGGCAAATGTAGGTGCATTATTTAATCAAAGGATAATTGAGAAAACTATAGTCTCCATTAAAAGAGCAAAGCTAATTCTGGCCTGATAAAGGACTCTGAGCTGCTCCAAATAGGTCTTAATTAGCTGGCACCAATATGGCTCCACCTTCAGGGATGGATGAAATTAATGGAAGTTAGCAGCAAATAGATCAGTGTTTCAAGATGTCCCTGCCTCGGGTGAAGAGGGGTGAAGAAAGGGAATTGTTGCTAAGGACTATTTAGGAAGTGTGATGTACAAGTCACTTTCAGAAAATACTGAGTAAAGAGAAGGCTGATTTGTAAATATAAAATTTTCTATACTGGCTCATATTTGTCACCATGCTCCATCCATTCCTACTTAATCTTAAGGAGAGAAAAAGA